TAAATTTACACTTCTATGCTGACTTAAACCAAAGACTTGTGGGTCTTTGGCAAGCAGCCGGCCACTGCACTACTATAGCTTCTTCTATTATTTGAATTCACACACAAAAACATCTTAAGGAAACACTGAGTCTGCAAAGAATAGTTCAATACAAGTGCATAAATAATTGTGTATTAAATGAGCAAAAAATATTTAATAACATACATAAGTAATTATAAATACTTTAGAAGATAAATATATACATTAGGACAACAGGTAAACATAACTTTTGAGTTCAGGAACAAAAACTACACAAGCAAAGTAGATTTATGTACATCAAACAGACTTAGTCACTTTAGAAATCTTCAGACCAGGAGTTTGACTTGGTCACTGTAGAAATCTTCAGACCAGGAGTTAAGACTGCTTGCTCTGCTAGGCATAAAACTGGGTCACAACCAGTCACACACAAATGTGATCATGATCCCCATAAAGGGTTAGAGAAGATAACGATGTGAGGAAGGAAGGTGGTCTTTTATTATCTTAGGCAATACTCCAATCCTTAAGTCTTCTGTCAGCATCCAGGTGACGATTTAAATGAAGAAGTATTTTCCTCAACACCACAACCTTTACTGCATTTACTTTTTATTTTCGGCTGGTGCAGGACAGCGGGTCGTCTTTAGCCTGAGAACTAGGGGCCTCACGACTGGTGCAGACGTCACTAACTGGGCAGGTTAGGATCTGATTCTTTTTCTTCCGACAGAAAAAATCCATCGCCTCACACCAAAAAAAACAGAGAGAATTGTGGATTATCCAAAACTGAGTGTATTTCAGACTTTACATAAAATCGTGGTCATAGTCCCATAACATTTATTGTGAGGTTACTGGTAGCTGTTGAATGCCTGATCAGTTCCCACCACCTCTGTTGATCAGATAAACAGAAATTATGTTTGCAAGGAGGCTCTTTTAATCAGTCAAGTCTTTCTTGATTTGCCTCTTCTCTTACATCCCTGTGGCATCACTGTGGAGATACCAGGAGATCTTGTCTTTTTACAGTACCACTGCATTTTTCACTGTTGTTAGAAGTTCATAGTTGCCAAGCGATGATATGAAGAACTTTGTCATGTGTGGTGTGGTCTTTAAATGATATTTTAGGAATTTTTTTAAAAGACCACATCTGTACCGAAGCAGGACTGAACTCTGACAGACTGCAAGAGTCACATTTTCAAATCACAATGATGGGTGATCTGTACTTATGACTTTCACACCCAGAATCACTCGTCACCCACAAGCGTGCTGGGAATAAGTTGCTTGGCAACCAGATCACCATCAGTCCTGGATTCATCATCTCCCACAAAGGGGAAACAACTCCAGCTTTCAAAAAATTTGCTTAAAGTCAATGAGTTAAATCGGTCACGTCAGAGAAAAGCTATATCAGCAAGAGGTACCCACATTTACAAAATATTGCACGCACAAAAGAAACAGACAGAATGTCTGAACTGCTGCTGCCATATATCAAAGACAAGACAACAATACACAATTTATGGTAATTGTACACAGCGGCAAATATAATTTGACATAAATACAGACAGTATCAACAAGGAGTTTATGTTAATAGCTAAAGTTTCATATAAAGCAGGAACCATTCCTCCCTGATTGATCGCCATTATCCTTCTGTTTCTTATTATCCCTTTCCTACAGTAGTGTTTCTTTCTGTTCACAGAATTTGTTCATTCACGTGAAGTTTATCATTTGCTGTTCTGTGCCCTGGCGCCATACTGTATTAATGTTATGTCTATGCTAGGGCTCGGGTTTCTGGCCCGTGATAATCCCCACTTTCAGCATTTTGGCCCCTCGGTTAACTTAGCTAACTAGCCCTGGGTTAACTTAGCTAACTAGCCCTGGGTTAACTTAGCCAAATAGCCCCTGGGTTAACTTAGCCAAATAGCCCCTGGGTTAACTTAGCCAATAGCCCCTGGGTTAACTTAGCCAATAGCCCCTGGGTTAACTTAGCCAAATAGCCCCTGGGTTAACTTAGCCAAATAGCCCCTGGGTTAACTTAGCCAAATAGCCCCTGGGTTAACTTAGCCAAATAGCCCCTGGGTTAGAGGGCATCATGTCATGTGACATGTCCGCACCAAGGATGCTTTTGCAATTTCACAACTGGCAAAAAATGATAGGTAGTATCTGGTTTCTAGAAGGTATCTACATCAATAAAGCATTGCAAAGGAGAAAGATAATATTAGAATTAAAACTCAAATTGCCATCATAATTTAAATTAGAGAAAAAAAGGCTCTATCCCAATAATTCACCACAAACAAGGGAAATCTGCAGGTCACGAGACAGACTAATTTCAAGGGCTGTTGTATAGTGTAGTAATTTTACATTTCATTTGCCAGGCAGTTTTCAGTTTAGTGTGCTCCTTGTGCTGTTTTGTGTGTGCATTTTGCTGTTTTTGATGTGCATTTTGCTGTTTTTGATGTGCATTTTTCTGTTTTTAATGTGCATTTTTCTGTTTTTGATGTGCATTTTGCTGTTTTTGATGTGCATTTTGCTGTTTTTGATGTGCATTTTTCTGTTTTTGATGTGCATTTTGCTGTTTTTGATGTGCATTTTTCTATGTGTTGGTGCAGTCGGGAGGATGCAGTTTTTGTGGATGTTTACTTGTTGTTTTTGCTGGGAAGGACCTAGGCTGTTGCACTCTCTCGTGGGATGTAGGAGGGTTGGGGTTAGAGCCAGTTGTAGATGTTTTGTGGGTTGGTTTTATGCGTTTGTGTGTGTGTGTTGTTTTGCAATTTGTTTGTGTGAAACTGTGCAATCATTCTATATGTATACTGCTGAGTTCAAGCATGAATTGACAATCAGAACAATTTTACATGTTAGTAAATCTGGAGAGAGGTCAGAATTTGGCACCCATTGTTGCAGCAGCAGCGGCGACAGACTATTGTTCTGGTGGCCAGAATGCGGCACCTGTTGTTGCAGCAGCAGCAGCAGCAGTGGCAAAAGACTATTGTTCTGGTGGCCAGAATGCCGCAGCGATGACAGATTATTGTTCTGGTGGCCAGAATGCAACAAGGTCCGCCAGAATGGTGGCAAACACGCCGCGATCCACACATTGAGGGAACTACGCCACAGAAACTCACACATGTAAGTGTCTGTGCGTGCCATTCTGATAATTGTTTCTCTCCTTTGTCGACCTCGACATGGGCTAGATGCAATGCATATGTTCACCTGTGCTAGGGTCGACAAAACTCAAGGATGATTGACGCCGAGACGTGTCAATCCAGGAATATTTTCAATTCCACTGTATGCACACCACATGTCAGAGACTATTATCGTGTTCCAGGTCTGATGTTTGTGCTAATGATCGGCAGAAGCATCTCTGCTTTTCTGTCTGGAATATAGAGCATAAAGCATTTACCGGATTCACGACAGACGCTAGCAAATACCCACTGTTGTGGAAACATTCGTCCCACATGATTTTTACGTCTTGCAAACGCTCTCATCAGTTTTTAACAGTGGTGTTCACTCTGTCGATCACTGCAGGACTCAATAATAACGTATTGGCACAAACACTCCACAGTTGTTTTCTTCGACATGCCTAGCTCTACTTGGCAAAACTGAATGCTTATCACCTCCTCAGACCGGCAGTAGAGAAAAAGAATGATCTGCCAGTAAGGTAGGCGTCACCCTTGCAGTTATGGTATGCACACCGCCACTGATCCTGTCTTTCCGCCAACGATAACAGCATCGCATGTTTATTGCCACAATGCCTGGTGCTATGCAGAATGCCATGATGTGGCCAGAAGCTACGCTGCTGTTCTTGTCAGGCACTGATGCTGCTAATTTCAGGAAATTCATGGCGATGAAGACTGAACTGAACACACAAGTCATCACTGGAGATATGAGGCTGCAACACAAGTCGCTCTGCAGAAATGCGAGAAACGCGCCAAAACCTTGGCAACGCCTTGGAAGACACACAGACAGTGGAAAAGCCCACTCTTATCACCCTCGAAAATATTGGACTGTTTCGTAACATCTGTGGTGAATTATTGGGATAGAACCCAAAAAACTTAATAAAAAATACAATAGTGAAAATATGAATATCTTACATACAGCTCTTAAGACTTCTATTGGCAATGAACAAAATAGTAAAAAAAAACAAAAAAAATACACTGCCATCTTTTCACAAACCGGTACTTGCAAACAGCACCAACAAATATAGTCAAGCTACAAAAAAGAACGGAAGTATTTTTATAAAACCCAAAAGAGCTAAGGATTCAGAATCAAATGTATAGACCGATTATTAAAAAACATGGACAGCTTGCAACAAATATAGCAATTTAATCTCCAAGCAGAATTCACATGTGTTTCCTGTGTTGAGTTGACTAGAATTTATGTACAAACAATACCAACTCAGTGGATCTCAAACCTGATAGAGAGCCACCCTACCATTCACAGATACACATTCACAGATTTTACAATTTATTGACACATTATATCCAAATCATTCTGTATAATCTATGAAAGAGCAAGCACAGTGTTTTCTGCACTTGTTGTTACAGAAATGTTTACAGTCACGACACACATGTCTGGAAATGCAGTCAAAGACTTTGTAATGTCACAACTTTGTCTGTAACAAAGACACTGTACTGTGAACAAACTGTAATGTTTGTAGTTGAAACTGGACATAAAAACAACAGATGCTAATGTGTAATGTCTGTCAAAGGTAGACAATGTAATGTCTGTGTTAAGTGTAGGCACTTTAAATGCTGCAATTGAGGAGACAAATGTAATTAATGGTTGCATGAAAGAAGACTGTCACCAGACAAGATAGACTGTAATGTATCTAGCTAGAACAGACAATGTAATCATGTCTGTATCAAAGACAGACTATAATTTCTGCAGTAAATCAACACAGAACCAAAGAAGGGGTCAAGCTATGCATGTAGAGAATGATTTCGGACGCATGAAGCCACAAGTGACATCTTCTACCATGACAGTCCCGACAGACGACAGTGTGCCTAGACGGTCATCTTGACTCCTGTCTGAACCGGCAGCGAGGAGCCTCGACTCAGACGCTTGGTTCTGTTGGTACAAAACAAAAAGTATTACAATTCCAACATAACAGTCTGCATGGTATGCACAAGTTTTTTTATGCTGACTAAAGCTACAACCGCGCGAGAAGTGCTAATATTAAACAGCTATAATAAAAAGCCTTTGAAATCGTTAATTTGTCTAAATCTGCAACAATAACAAATATTTCAAAGTGTCACAACCAAGGGACAGGGTTAAAGGATGAGCTCTCAACTCTCACCAAATACCCCAAATGCATATGCATTCATCACTTCTGACAGTAAAAGTCCAACTCCCGGCCTTCTCGTGGGGAACTGTTTAAACCAACAGGAGAGGGGGCGACGACGAGTATCTGGTGCGGTAAAACCAGACGGCTCCTCAAGTATGGTCACAGTCTACCCTAACAAAACAAGGTGATGAAGTCGGAGGCAACCAGCCAGGTGGCGCACCACAGTAATCAGCACGCCATGCAAACACTTCATTACAGTGACATTTAAACCAGAGACACAACTGATGATACAGGCAACTTATTTCAGGCGAACGAAACAACAAGAAGATATTGAGTAATAAGTTATAGGAACATTAAAACAAACACAAAACATTTAAAGGTACATTAATTAAACCAACATTATACTATTAGTGTGTACTCCCTAAACAGAATATATCATCAAACAATACACAATTGTGCAATCAGCTGCATATTCTCTTCAGGGGACCCCAAACCAACCCCAGCATGCACTTCTGCTGTGTGATTTTACTGGGTAATTTAATTATACTTTTAGTATTTTGTCAATGCTTTCTGAATTTGTTGACATTTATACGGATGACAAAATCAGTGCAAAGCAACTGCTAACAGAGCATAACTCACATACAGACCATTTCTAAATTACACCTACTGTCTGAAAAGGTGAGATAGTTGTATGGCTAATAAAGCATATATATACACATTTATACATAAACATCTATGCATACACGAATACGCAAAAGCATATATAAGTATACATACACACAGACACAGAAATGTCGTTTTCTTCTTTTTTTCTTCTTCTTCTGGTCCTTGCTCTGAAGCAGAAATCTGCAATCATCATGCTCCAATCTCTTTTGATAAAATTCTGATACATTTGGCAGTTTACACAACTATTTACTATCACCTCTCTGCCGTTACTGTTCTTAGATTTAATCTGCACCTCATGTTTCCCAAGAGAAACACAAACTGTCCCCTCTCTTACTGGCATGTCCATTACAATGTATTTCACTTTCTTCATGATCTAATCTATTAATTCCTGTAGTTCTCAATACCTCAACATTTATTTTTTATCTCTTTCCATAATGTTCTCCATATTCCCCTTAAAAAAACATCTCTGCTACCTATAGTGTCATCACCTTTCAATGACTCATTGTCCAACACCCACATCTCTGCTGCCTATAGTGTCATCACCATTCAATGACTCATTGTCCAACACCCACATCTCTGCTGCCTATAGTGTCATCACCATTCAATGACTCATTGTCCAACACCCACATCTCTGCTACCTATAGTGTCATCACCATTCAATGACTCATTGCCCAAAACCCACATCTCTGCTGCCTATAGTGTCATCACCATTCAATGACTCATTGTCCAACACCCACATCTCTGCTACCTATAGTGTCATCACCATTTAATGACTCATTGTCCAACACCCACATCTCTGCTGCATATAGGCCGAAGTAACAAGAGCAAAAGGAAACCTCAAATACTCTTGGAGCACCACAAGAACAATGGCAAGAACCTAAAATCAACCAAGTGGACTGATAAGAATGGTAATGGGAAGGAAAGCTTCTTCAACATTCAAGCAAAGACATGCTAAATATGTCAAAGTAATATTCAACAGACCATTTCCAAAACAATAAGAATACTTTACTGAAGGTTAAGAAGAGGAAGAGGGGGAGCAGGAGGTGAAGAAGAAGGTTATACAGACTGTTATATGCGTTGCACATATATCTGGTAACAACGCCCTTCTGGAGCTAACAACGCACAAGCTAGTCAGGGACTTTGTTGCTGCCAGTATAACTGTAGGACATTTTAGGCGGGAGATCATTTATTTTTTATGTATAGAAAATAATCACTGTTTGATCACAACATTTGTGTTGTGTGTGCGCGCACGCGTGTGTAAAAGGGGTAAGGGGGGAAGGGAAAAATGATATATGTGCTAAGAAATATAGACCCCTTTCAAATGTACCATCAGAAACGGCGGTGAAGGCATGTTCTCGAACTGACCTCTATCAATTAAACACTGCTGTCTAACCAGAGCTGAAACCTGTCTCCCAATCTAAACCATCTGAACAATAACTGAACAGCATCCAGCCCTGCATTTGTTTCTGTGTGATGCACTCACAGTAGCAGAGGTCGGCTAATGGACTTCGCCATCAGCCAAGAGATCTGGTTCTAAATCTACCTCAAGAAAGTATTTTCTCCATGCCCGCCTGGATCAGGGACAGCTGCGGTAGCATGCAGAATCCATAATATATGCAGAATCCATAATATATGCAGAATCCATAATGTATGCAGAATCCATAAACAAATAGATATGGGTGCAACTCTGTATCCCCAAAATGTGATATTGGTGGGGAAAAAAGACCTTTTGTTTTGTTTTTATTTACAAGTCTCAAACATAAAATGTTTCAGGACCAAGGAAATAAAAGTGGTTACTGGTCAGGGGATAGAAAAGAAAGAAGGCATCTTGGCAAAGTGAGGAGCTGCGCTGAAGAACAATCCTCAAACAAGCGGACAGGCTGTGGGTAGTAATGCAGATATTGTATCCAAAAATAAATAAGTGACATGTTAGAATTTTAAATTTATTTCACGTGTTATCTTCTGTGCTGTTTGGTGTATTTTCCAATATTAAACCCATAAATTTTTTTTTTATTACATACATGTCAATTCAAATCGCCTTTAGCTTACTAATCTTGTACCCTAATGACTCTAATGGTTTTGTTTAATATTCTAGAACTATGAAGAACTGCATTTTCTTTTTCTTCTTCGTGTTTATTAATTTTTTATCGATCACTGGCTGTGAATTCCAGTGGAAGGTCACGGTTAATCGTCCGCTTGGACTTTTGGCTTTCACCTGGACCTGATTTTTGCGCGTACAGCCGTTTTTCATTTCCCTGCCTCATGGGCAGCTGTACTCCGACTTCGAAGGAAGACGTCAGGCCTATTTCTAGGTTGACTGTGGCCATTGTTTTGTGTGGGTCGAGACGTTGCCTGATTTGTGTGGTGTCCACTGTGTCTCCTCCGCAGGTATTGCCCTCGGAGTACCCCTTTGGGGCAGCCCCCTGTGGAACAGTTAGCCCTCAAGGGAAGGCAGGGGCAGATCATGGGCATTCCCCGCCATCCAAGGATGCTTCCATGCATGCAGAGCCGGCACATGGCGCTCTGGTTCTGGGCTCACCCAAGGAATCGTCACGTCCTGCACATGCCTGCTTAACCTCACAACCGTATCAGGCCTCCCGCTCGACAGGGGCTGCGCCCTCTGGAAGTCAGCGGGGAGCAGCCCGTGGGTTTTGGACTTTTGTGACCACACAGATAGGTACATTCTTTTTTCTTCGCACGTTAGATTTCTTTGACGAGCCGTTAGCCCGACAGAATTTTACATCCTGCATCAGGCATATCGTTATCAGTTTTGTCCCAACACTCGGGCGAGTGAGGTCTTTTATTATTATTAACTATGGCGGAAAGTTTTAGTTGTTCGTCCATTTCTGGAGGGTAGTTTTGTGTGCATATCCATTTTACAGAGCTCGCTTATTTGTATGCAGACCGTTAGTTCCCTGTCTCTCAGGCAAATTGGTCAACATCTACGACATGCTTGTTAGAGACACAATGGGTATATCCACACCCCCCCCCCCCCCACCTACAATGGGTCCGCCCTACCCCCCCCCCCCCCTCCACCTACAATAGGCTTCGAAACCCACACCATGACCACACAAATTTTTTTTAATGTACCCTTTCTTAATTTTTGCTAACATTTTATTAGTGTACTTTTTAAACCAGAAATACAAGTGTACATAATTCTATATCTACTGCCCTACTTCTTCGATCACTAAACATTGATTTTTGTTTTTAAAACATCTTCAAAAATCAGCTGCCTTAAATTACTCCTCAGTTTCAGACTGGTTTGAAGTTTAAACAATGGACCAACATCCTGGCACACGGGTAGTAACCCATAAGTGCTCTGTTCTACTTCTAACTCAAGTTGAAGTCTGAAGTAGCTCAGAGCATGGGCTCCGTAGCATCTGCGAGGATACTGAAATTTTTTAGTAGATTTTTAATCCCACATTTTGCCCATTCAGCCCTGTTAAGTTACTCTTTTCGATTTCAACTGCCAAGAGATTTTTTACGTGCGCAACAATACACACGGGCTACCTATCTCACTACCCAGAGACCAGGGGATATTACTAGAAGTCAACGTGAAAAAAATACAAGCCCTCACCGGAGCCTGAAGCCGGGACCTCTAGCACATGAGGCGGATGCCATACCTTGAGACAGACCATGCAGCCCCCTAGTTTCAGACTGCTGATGTATAAACTCCTATTTTTCTGGCTGGTCATCTAGTCCGTCCTGTCATGGGCCATTATTCGTGATAAAATTTCTGCCCTAGATGGTTCTATTAACTCTCATTGGTCCCTCCATGAGCAAAAAGGGTTAACTTATTTATGCATGTGACTGAAGTAGCCAATCAACATGTGCTGCTTTGTTTGGCTATACAAAAAAACCTGTTTTCTATTATATTTTCTTCACAGTTTATAGAAAGCACGCATTGAATAATCTAGGTGGGAAAATCAGCTCTTCAAATATGAAAAGTAATTAAGTGCACTTCTATCAAATAAAGCACCGCAGGAAACAATTTTCAGAATCACCTTCAAGGGCAATTCACTCCAGGCAATTCTGGTAAAATTGTAAACAATTGTTAACTATGAAAAAAAATACATATTCAAGTGAGATGATTGCAGATCAAGTAGATTAAAATAAA